CACAAGGAGAGCTATGCCTCCTGCCATTTTGTGAATGTGTCTTTGACAGATAGTGGAAGGGAAGATGTGAAATTTAGACAGAATGGCCATCTCGTACATTGCGAGGTTATATCTCTGCATTCCCGAGTCTTTCCTATGTTCCCTCACCAGTCCACTTTGTGTCTACTGTCAAAGATGATTGATGACACGTGGGTGGAATTAACATCCCACTGTAAGTCGCCGAATGGTTCAACCCACATGTTCTTAGTTACTTTGTTAGTTGCTGTTTGGTTAACCCAGACTGATTCACATTGCACCATAGTCAAACCCACTGCAGGTTTCAAACTCTATTTTCTGCCATCACTACTAGAGACCACCTCGAGGTCTCATAGAAATTTCCGGTAAAAAGTCAATGCAAGGATGCTGTTAATGGGCCAGCCCTAGACTACAGCCAATCGGAGAGCAGACCGGATGTGCAGCGTGGAGGTTTTTAAAGCCGCCTCAGGAGGAGGAGGGTGAGGGAGAGAAGTCGTTCCTTGAGCTTCTTACCGAGATGTCAGCTTCTTACCTGCCCACACCAACTGTCTTCCACCTACACAGCTCTGCCTTTCACAAGGGCTCCCATACAATATATGCAGCACAGGGCTTCATCACGCAAGCATTCCATCCCCCAAAGCTAGAAATCTGGCTAAAGCGCATCAGGGAAATGCCAGCAGTGGAGTAAGGACCCAGATTAGGAGCCTCTTGCCGTGTTTATTGTTGTGTAGGAGGGCCAATGCATGGGGACATTTTCGAAAGTGGCTGAAAACCTTTAGGAATTTTGACTTGCCCTGGCTAGTCTTCATATCTAACTCTGAATAGCTAACAAAAAAAGAATCTCTTTGTAATTCACTTGGAGTAAATAGGAAAGCATTGAGCGGAATATGATAGAAACCAAAAAGCAATGAAACCCGTAATGCCTTTATTTTCTTTCCGGATGCTTTGTGTGACTCAGCTGCAGTGTTATTGTCTTCCCAGAGGCCTGGATCTCTCGGGCTCCCTGCTCCGCCTGACGAGGTATAATTTCCCTTAACGCAATTGTGGCTGAGATTCTGTGGGCTAAACGGCACCAGTGGGCAGGGAAGGGAGTAGCAGAGAGAGAGAGAGCCCCCCATTCCTACACCTCTTTTATATGCCGTTCATCTTTCTAAACTAAACTTGATCTGAGCAGTCTTGGGATAATTGCGGCCCAGTTTGCTTCAATTACAGAAACGGGAGAGGAAAACAGGAGATGAAGTCAAGGCGGATGTGAGAATGGACTAAACCCACTCTGGGGAAGTAGCATACGCATTTACTGAGTCATTTTAAATACATTTTTTTTGTTACAGAGCTTGATATAGATGCTTGTAAAAGCGTAGTTTAATTGTTTGGTTTACAGCTTTACATTAAGTGCACCTTCATAATGCATTCATAGAACATTCAGTGCACCTTCATAATGCATTCATAGAACATTCATAAGCAGCATGCAAGTACACCTTAACATCCTAACATCCCTTTACAGCTTTAATCTACATTAATAACAAACATTACATGATTATGCAATTATAATGTTTGTTATTATTATATATTATATACATGATGTTTATGAATGTTTTATGAATACTTAATGAATACATTATGAAGGTGCACTGAACGTTTTACGAATGCAATATAAAAGCATTATGATGTAAAGCGTTACCAATTATTTTAATTACTTTTTACTCAGGAAAGCGCCATTATTTTTGGAGAGTATATTGCGTTTCCTTCTTTCTGTTCGCACCTTGGGTGACGTCTTGTGTTTGTGTTTTTTTGTAATCCTACGTACATTTACATGCACATCATAATGATGCAGGCAGGCATGGGGGGGCTCTGGCCTGGCCCCATCAAGAAAGCTGTCAGCAGTCATTCAGTACCTCAGGCAGGTCATGCCAGCCATTTTTAACATCAGCTACTAACTGGTAAGGTAAACATCAAGAAAACAGTGTCTCCCTTCTCAGGATTAAAATGGCTTCTGGTTCCCTTTATTTGGCAGTATCCTGGGTGGTGTGTGTAGGTGTGTGTGTGTGTGTGTGTATCTAGGGCAATGCTGTTTTTTTATACTCCAATCGGCCACTGATTTAGTACCCAGTTTTCTCACTGCAGCCCAGCTGTGTTGATTTGAACCAAGCACCAGAATGTTGTTTTCCCTTAAAATTCAGTCTGTTAATAATTGCTAATAAAGTATGAAAGTCTATTTAGACAGAATTATCCCTCTGGCAATTGAATTATTGTAATTATTCAAATGCAACACGGGTTCCTTTATCTTTTCCTCCTCTTGCCTACTTTTTTTCACTCTCCACAGATTTTTGCCTTTGTTGTTATGGCAGACGTCTTCCTGTGCTTTCTGTTTCACAACTACATTTTTGGGGAAAGTGTGTGAGATGTGCAGTGATGATTCTATACATTAAGTGCGTCTCACTGTTGGGGTCTGCCGTTCGTTACAGTGCCTTTCCATCCTGCCTGCAAGAATGATGCCAGCACACATTTGGTTACCTTGGAGACCCTAAAGCAGAGCTGTTTGCGGAGTTTGTTTATCATTTTTCCATGAAGATCCTCTGTGCTTTACTGAAAGCCTGGTTGTCTGAGGGGAAAAAACTACAGAAATTAAATAGGAATGTACATTTCTTTAAAAGGTGTCTAAGGCACACCATTACAAAGGTGCTGCTTTAAATGTGTGAGTTACTGTCTCGGTGTTGATCATACTCAGACATGTTATTCCTAGACTCAATATCGACAAAATTTAGCTGAGATAAATGATTTGTCCTCAACTGATTAGGACTCCACTTTGTTTATGTCTCTGTTGCGGTTTTCAGCTTTAAATATCTGCAGAAAATACTGAACTTGACATTCGGGATTAAATTTTGTCAGTCATTATCCATGCCTTTGTTCATTTCTAAATGTATCTTTTAAATATTTTCTTTCCTATCACAGTTGTGGGATAGGCCTAGATTTACCAATCTTCATTTAAAATGTAACATTAATGACAATTCTAACCTTTTATTCATACATACTACATTTTTAAAAAGTGCATAAAATGTTTGAAAAGCTAAAGCATGCTACTCTGATGTTATCAGAGTTAACAAAAGAGTAGACTGGAGACATTATACTGACCGTATGTATGAGTTAACAATATGCGTTTGATTGTCATTATGCCTTACTACTGAAAAAAGCCAGCGTGTGTTCAGTTACAGTTCTCTGTATTTATTACATCCCTCGTTTTTAGGGTTTGGTTTAAGTATGAAATAAAACAATAATTAGTTGTAATTTCCTTCCTAGTTATACTTTGTGCATAATGGCTGCAAGTTAAATGATAAGCCACAAGCATTACTGCGCAACTGGACTGCTTTCAAAACAAAACTTAAAATTAATTCATGTTTGTCCAAGCACATAATATGTAGCAAGTTAAATAGCTCTTTTTTGGAATGTACATTCATAGCGGCGCCTTGAACAGATCCTGCATTCCGGATCTCCTGGGACTGGGCGGGTGGCCTCCCGATATCGGTGCACACAGGGTCCATTACATCACGGTTCACTTTCACTGATTTAAAAATAACATATGCGGCAGCGGATGGTCTAGATGACTGCGGGATCACGTCGTCGACAAGTTTATTGAGAGATACGCCGTGGTAAGGCGGGCTACCGATTAAATAAACGTGTACATCACACTGCCGTTTGCTAACTTGTGAATTCGTCTTCAAGACACTTAGCGTTGCGTTATTTCGGTTTCTATCCCCCCTGCTGCGCTCCTACAGATTTTCGCTCCTGCTCTTGTGTTACATGCGTGCCGCTCACAGGTTACAGCAGAGGTTTAAAATGTTTCCTGATTACTCTGCTGTGTTTACAGCACACCCCGTGCAGCTGAGCTGGTTGAGATTGAACTTCAGCCTCTAAATTGGCGTTCTTTGCATGCCTGACCAGTAATATCCGTGCCCCTTCGGCTACACTGATATTTCGTTTTTAGTTTGTTTTCTGTACATGCAGTGGTTCACCACTAAGTGTTATATTTATAACAAATTTTGCCCAAATATAATAATAATTAGCACCGTACCATACAAAGTTACTTGGCAGGGCTCAAATACAGTATTACGCTGTTACTTATGTATTAATTAACCACGAACTAAGTCTTAGTTGCATTGTCATCTCATGTTAATTCATGATTAATGAATCGTGACGCATGTTTTATCTCAAGGAGTTACTATATTTCTTCCTATATCTGTTAATTCTGTAAACCTTTGTGAACTACTGAAGGAACAAATAATGAACAACACAAGTGAAATACTGATCTCATGCTTGTTCATCAGTAATGAATCGTGATGTATCTTTTATCTGATTATATTTGTTCATGATTTGTACTTCAGTAATAACTGAATTACTAAGTATTTGTGTCCCATCAAGTAATGTGTTTCCACAAAATGTTCTCAGGTACAGGTTTGACATTTCCCAAATTTCATATTTTTACCAGTGCCATTGCCAGAAAGGGTAATTCTCTTCAATGTGATCAGATTTTGTATTCTTTGATTGTGATCCTGCATTATTGGGGTTAATTGTCGCTTTTCTGCTTGAGCAGAGTGCCTGTTGGGCTTTCCTGCTTCAGCCTTAGCTTATAACTGAATTACATAAGCCTGTTCCCCTAGAGAGCAGCCCTGGATGCTTTAGTGAATGCAAAATGATGCAAGATGACAAGGCGATCATGCCCTCTGCTGACAGTCTGTCGGTGGGACCCGACATCCGCTGCTTTATAGGAAACACCGCTGCTGTTGCCATGGGGAAGGTGCTCTGTTCTTCCACGGGTGCGTGGTTAAGGAGGCTACTTGTGACACCTTGCTCCCATCCTCTTGTATGTGCACATCTTCCCAGTGTTGTTATAGTGACCGGGAGCTGCTGTCCTGTGGCCCAGCAGTCCATCGGCTGCCATGACAACGAGCCGTCTTGGTAATTCCCTCTGCTTGTGTTCCATGTGGCAGGGCACTGTTTGACTATGAGAAGGCTAAGGACAGCGGGCTGCCCAGCCAAGGCCTCAGCTTTCGCTATGGAGATATCCTCCACGTCATCAATGCCTCCGATGACGAGTGGTGGCAGGCCAGGAGGGTGACACCAGATGGGGACAGCGAGGAGATGGGCGTCATTCCCAGCAAGAGAAGGTACGCAGCCATCTGAATCTCTTGGCAGATGTTTGCTCACCTTGGACATGGGGCAGGGCGGCCTGGCTGTCGGTGCTTATCGCAGAACATCACACCGTACCTTTAAATACCTTTCAGATGGGTCGCGATCATATTCATGAATATTTATACACTTTAAAGAAAATGCAATAAGCATTAATGTCTTAATAAACAAGTTATTAAGCAGTATATAAACAAAGTATGTATTTACCATCCTTCCACTTTTGGGGGATTGCTCAGTGGGGTTAGGAATGCTGTGGCTGTGATCGAAAGGTCACCAGTTCAGATCCCAGACTCGCCAGAGTAATTTCACAGTTGAGTCCCTGAGAGATGCACCTACACCCAACAGCTCCAGAGACTGCCTGACCTGACCTTGCTTTCTCAGTTGTATCTCACTCTGAATAAAAACGCCTGCTACATAAATGTAAATGCTTCCTGGAATAGACTGGCTGCCTGCCGATATAGAAGAGGGATGCATGGTTGTAAAGATCTCAAAATATGTAAGGGATATGAACAGGAATAGACGGTGGTTTCCTTGCCGGCTGATGAGTCTCATGTGGGGTGGTGGTCTTTGCTGCCGCTCTGCAGGGTGGAAAGAAAAGAACGAGCACGCCTTAAGACGGTGAAGTTCAACTCCAAACTGGGAACGCTGGATTCCAAACCGGTAAGTGTCAAACTCAGACATTCGGAGGCCGTTGGTGGGATAAAGGAGGCTTCTGGTTACTTAACTTGCCCAACTATACAAGTACTGAAGGATTGCACCTTGAAAACTGGTTCTTAGTGATCCAGAGGAGTGACTCAGCCAAAGCTGGTGTAAAATAATTGCTTTGGGCTTGAAAGTGCCTATTAAATGTAGTTTTATTTCCTCGCAGAAGCATTCTGAACACACTCCTGTGGCGGCCAGACTGTGGTAGCTTTATGCTAACATGCTAACATCTTGCACGTAACAGAGCACAGTACTTTCAAGCTTTCAAGCAAAGGAGGTTTGCTGTCTGTGATCGGCCCTCCTCGCTAGTCGGATTTCCTGTCCAGGCGGCACGAAACCCGGCCTATTCCTAATGCCTTTGAATCCAAGTCCAGCTTCCTGCGACAACAATTGCTGTTTAAAACTTTGACAGAAGACCAGATTATCAATCTAGGCCATTATGTATTAACTAACCCCCTCCCCCTCCCCCCCCCAAAAAAAAACAAAAAAAAACTGTTTGTCTTTATTTTATAAAAAAAATAATAATAATTATGTGTCTCTTTGGCTACCTCTACGCTGGCCTTTTGGAGCAACAGCTCTTTACCCGCATGCATGTAATGGGAAGCAAAATGCATCAGTTTGAGCTGGTGGAGTTTTCTGTAGTTTAGTGTTAATGCTTTTACTTAATTTACCTAAAGAGCATCAAAAGATAAGAGGCATCCAACTTTTTATTGTCACAAGTTGGTTATAATTCCTTTGCGTTAAAGGATGGCCCAGTCCGCTGAGAGCGGGCGTCTGGTTTGCTTCGGAATGGCATCTATGCCGCCAGACAAAGGGCTGCATTAATGACTCTAATGCTGAACATGCTTTAATTAATGAAAACCTTCACAGGTGCTGACTCCAGTAGTCCTGTACAATTTCTGCTATGTTGTCATCCAGGGATTTTTTATGAAAGTTACCCATATTAAGCAAAAATGTCATAAAGAATAAATACTGAAATATCAAAGTAAGCATAGTATAAACCCAGTCACTTCTGCTCTTGCAACCCTAAGGTGTATCTCTGGGTATCTTGAAGGTATCTGCAAAATCAGGTTTTTTTTTTTTATTAAATGTAAATATATAATTGGCAATCTGTTTGGGAATGTTGGTGACATGATTTATTTCAGATTTTGACATAATTTTATATTTCTTGGACAGTATTTGAGCATGAATGTACATAAGCTTCTGCTCAGACAGCTTTGACTACCATAGTAACATCACAGTAACACTGATCTCTGACAGTGCAAGTTCCCAAAGGTCAGCGTGTTTGCAGTCAACCCAGAGTGGAGGCATTAAAGTACCTGATAAGGTTTTCAGTTAGTGATCATTGACCAGGAATGTTTTCATGTACTGATCACATTAACCCTTAAGGACCCACAGTGACACTGGTGTCACCGCCCCTTTACAACTTACAACCCCCGTAATTTTCATGAAAGTAGAAATAGGTCTGGGTTCTTAAGGGTTAAATACGCCCACCTTACTTCCATAAAGATATTAACCCTTAAGAACCCAGACCTATTTCTACTTTCATGAAAATTACGGGGGTTGTAAGTTGTAAAGGGGCGGTGACACCAGTGTCACTGTGGGTCCTTAAGGGTTAATGTTCCTGTAATTGTATTTGTACATTTTTGCATTTGCCTAAAATATAGTTATATTAGTTCATATTGGAGAGTATATGACAATAACTGCAATCCTCTAATATACTTTGACATTAACCGTTTGACAGGAAACTGCAAAAATGTATCTAAAACTAAGTGCAAGAATATACTTTTGTTTACAGTTTTGCTTACAAGAAAATAACTATTACTTATTGATCTGGATGTAAGGTGCCCCAAAGTTCAGTACCCTCTTATTTAGGAGAGTATTGTAGTTACTATGAGAATTAAATGACCTCTTCTCACAATTTGCAGCTAAAGGTCAAGGGACTGATATGGAAAGTATAGCTAAACAAATTACAAGGGCCCAGGAAGTGATGTTAGAAACTCCAGTTTACATACATTACACACAAACCCTATGTTTAATAGCCATATCCATGGTGTGTTTCATTCAGAACTTCCTGCTGGAGAGGCTGGTTTTTAGGGTTCACACAACTGCATTTTTCCTGTTACCAAACAGAAAAGGCAGGATCCAAGCTGGTGTGTTACATTCCTAAACATACTTGATTTTAACTGACCTATTTATTGAAACATTTGACAGACGTCACCACACTTCACTCACCTAACAGACCAAATCGCAGCCACAGTTTCCAGTTTCACAGATTCCACTGGTCATTCATCGAATCCCATTGAATGGTCCCCTGTAACCTGCATGCTTGACATTTGTTGAATTTTTATTCTCTTTGCTTGTTTTTCACTTCTGTTTCCACTGCATGCTGCTCCAGTTCCCCTTTCTATGTGGAATGAGGCCGACTTGTGTTGTTTTGCTTAATTTTAATCCACATCCAACCTCATCATTATTATCATTTTAACCACTGTTCTACACCACGTCCTGTGCGATTGTGGTACGAGCAGCAGTGACCATCCGTCCGTCAGCAAAGTGCATATGACTCAGTACCCAAATGAATTTGATAGTACTTTTTGTGCAATTTCTAAGTCGATGCCTTTCCACCATCCATTGGGAATGGGAGGATTCTGTCACTCTTACGGATGATCACTGCTGTTCCTTCCACCTCTGCAACTAGCTGTTTTGTCAGCATGAGTGTGGCAACAATTAGACATCCCTGTTTGCCCCATGCCTTTTCTCCTTCGCAGTCATTCAATGACAAGCGTAAAAAGAACTTCATCTTTTCACGAAAATTCCCATTCTACAAGAACAAGGAGATGGGTGAGCAGGATGCCAGTGACTCTGAAAGTAAGTAGACCTCCGCAGGTCACACACAAACACGCACACGCACACACACAGTGTAGAGACGCAGGCCGACCCCGACACACACCAGCACGGTCGCAGGTGCTTCTGGGAGCCGCTGTGCTCTGTCAGATCCAGGTTCAAGGAATGAAGGTTGGGGATTCGCTTGCCACACGTGTCGGCCGCCGACGCCACAGCCTCCTGGTGGCCTCCTCTCCTCCTCCTCTCCTCCTCCTCGCAGGAGCCGGTAAACATTAGCCGAGGGCAGGGCTGCCCCAGTCTGGTTTCCTAGCTATGCGACAGACAGTCGGGAGGGCAGGTGGGCTCACAGAGGGTCCTCACGCTGGCCTGGCTTCAGGTTTCGGCACATGTGGCAGGCCGCTCCCGGACCGCCGCCGGCTCCTCGGATGACCTCCTCCACCCCTCCCCCCCCGTGGCCCGGTCCGCGCTCCCCTCTAACCTCACTGACCTCTTCCTTCCTCTCCCGCGGTTATTCCCACCCTCTCTCTCTCCCTCTCTCCGCTCTCTGGGGACGGCCACGTAGGACATCCCGGGAATAGGTGACGACGGGTATGAGACAAAGGCACTGAGTAAGTTTGTCAGGAATGATGGTCCCACCTGTAACCTCCCTCCCACATTTGATTTGCTCACACTGTCTGATTCACGGTCCCCCCCCTCGTTCCGTCTTAACAACCACCCGTTCTCGAAGGGTCTGTCGGCATGCTCGGGTAGATGACCTGTCTGTCTGCTTCCCTCTCTTGGTTGTCCCCAGGTCTGTCTTCTCTTATTCGTCTCACTGGTTTACACCTATTTCGTTTCTTCCCTTTATTTTCCTTTCTTTAAAAAAATGATGCATGACGCGGGAAAAAAAACCGCAAGAGCACCTTTACCAGGATGCTGCTTTGCAGACGTTTTTTTAAAAAATGTCCCCTCTGAATGCTCTCCTACCCTAAATTCTTTGTCCCCTCACGCAGAAAAGGGAATGTTCTGTGTTGCGACATCGCAATGAAAGGAAAGCTCGCATGAGACGGCCTAGAGATAGTCACCCGATTCCATGCAGTTCTGGCGCAAGAAGTAATAGGACGGCGGTCGGCTCATTAACGCCTGCAGAGGGCGCTGACGGGGCTCTCAGTCTCACAGTGTGCCATCGCGGTGCCGCTTTCCTTTTATAAGATGCCAAACACGCCAGGTTCTGCCGTCTCCTTCGCCGGATCCCATACCCAAGTGGCGGGAGCTTCGTCGGCACAGAGCACGTCGCGGCTGGTTTTTAAAAAAAAAATTCTTTTTGTTTTGACTGCATGTGTTGACTGATGCAAAGGATTTGCTGCCTGAAAGCTGCACTTTCACAGGTTGCCGATTGTCTGTCTGTAGGGGCCACATTTTTGATCAGTGTGTCTGGGCGAGATCCACACAACGAGTGTGGCAGTCCGAGATGCCCTGGGCTGTCACCATGGCGATGTGACCGTCTCCGCACAGGCGGCCAAGTCTGGCAGAAGCACAAACGCCAGGCAGTGAGGAAGAGCTTTTTTGAGGCATAAAGGATGGGGGGGAGAGGGGAGGGTTATATCAAGACTCCACACAGCCAGTATGTCTATTTTGCCTTCAAGTTGCCAGGTAACAGTGGTTTCCAGAACGTTCTTCTTTTTCTTTTTTGAATCATAATGCTGCAGACCTGATAAGACATAAGACAAGAAGGGTGTTATTGTCATATTGTGTCACAGTACATCATTTTGGCTGCAGACTGGGAAGCAATTAAAAATCAGTTTTAACCATGAATGAGAATGTCTTTGTGCCAGCGTTCAGTCTTTAAATATACCACTGAACTGTATTTTTGGTGCAGTTCAGCTTTGCTGAAGACACAGTGGGGATTTTGGGGATTTTTACTGTGCCACATTAAATAACTGTAATAGCACTTGTTCTATTTACAAATCAGAATCACTCAATGTGATGGTTTGGTAGAATGCTCCTTTTTTCTCTATGAGATCCTGAGCTTTTATGGAACTTTTTCATCACCAGTTTCTCTCCAAATGACCATGATTTGAAGAATAAAATCCTTAAGACCTCATTCATGACACTCTCACGTCTTTTTTTCTTTCTTTACATGCGGTTTTGTGGAAGAAGCAAGTTAGTGCAGAAGCTGTACAATTGTTTTTTTTTTCTACTTACAAAAATATGCTTGCGGCCAGCGGTCCTGAGCACTAGAAAGCTTCCTTTTCTCTGGGGAATCGCGCAGTGATTAATTGGATCCTGATGAACAGGGTTAAGGGAGCCTGTTTGTTTAGATGGGTTCAGCTGACCCAGCACATGCCACACGGCACAGAGCCCGGGAACCTGCCCTTCTCAAGAAGCACCGCACTGCGCTGCCCCATTCCTGCCACTACCTGCCCAGCCCTCACCAACCACCAGGGAGAATGGAGGAGCTGATCAGCAGAAACACTTGCTGGGTTGTACTTAGATCAATGACAACGAGCCCAGATACACTCTTTTCAGCCAGACAGTATGTTAACAACACCTGCCTGATCGCAGGAAGAATGAGATCCAGCATAACAATCTTCCAATTTTCTTCACCAGCTTGCTTAGTTCTAGCCTCACTTTTGACCCCCTGCTTAGCGGAGAGAAACCACCGTGATCCTCATGTAGAGGCGAGCAGATCCGCAGCTCCTCCTGCCACCTCGCCTCACTTCCTGTCTCACATGCTGACTCTCCGCCACGTCATTCCTGTTTGAAAGCCTTTCTCTGAGGCTTTGAGTTTTAGCTCAAAAATCAGAGTCCCTCAGTGTTCTTTTCCATACTAGCCAGCTTGCAGCGCTACTCTTACGGTTAGAACTGCCATTAAAATGATTTTCTTTCATTTATATCACCAGGGAGTCAAGAGGATTTGATTCTGTCCTACGAGCCGGTCATTCGACAAGAGAGTACGTTCCCCTGCTGGTCACTGCCCTTTTTCTTATTGTAGTTGCTTAGCAGAATTTAAATTCAAAGAAATTACCTTTTTTTAACTTAACAGTTTTTTCGCTACAGATTGCTGCCTGGTCTATAAATTAAGGGATTGATATATACTAGCGCAATGAATAAAGCAAATCTCTGGGGATAATTTCTTTATCTTTAAGTCTTTTTACATCTTTGAGATTATCTCTTGTATTACCATATTCATTATGTGTTGGCTTTGTGTTTTTTTTTTCTCTCACAGTTAATTATGCCAGACCCGTTATAATCCTGGGACCAATGAAGGACAGAATTAATGACGATCTGATATCAGAGTTTCCGGATAAGTTTGGATCATGTGTACCCCGTAAGTGAGCTGGAAACTGTGTCATAAGCTTACCACCCTTTACTGCTGAAGGTGAAAGCTGAGCTACATTCTCAAAGGTTCAGTGTGTTCTGGTGAGGTACAGTTTTGGCTTTTTGTGGTTTAAGCTCACTCTACAGCTGACTCTTGTTTCATCATTTCTTAGGTTTTCACTGCCAATGTAAAACCAGAAAACCAGTAGTAACGGGTTTGGAGGGGGGTAGTGTTGAGACTGGCGTATGTTTTGAGATGATAGGAGGTTTAAATGTAGTGTATGTTTAATGTAAGATTCAAACAGGCACAAAGTAAAAAATCACCTGCTGAGTGGAAACTGATGTATCTCATGGATTTAATGCCTTCCAGCCATTTTTAATTGTCACTGTCTTCATTTTAAGTCTTTTTTTTTTTGCTGTTTTTGTTTTTTGAATGTAAGACCTAAAACACTCACCTTGGCTGATATATGTCGCCTGATAGAACTGTATCGACAGTAATGTCCATTTTGTTTCTTCAGTATTTCAATGAATGGGCTGACTTTTACGCTAGTATCATCATTGTTTATTTATTAGTAAGTTGTGTAGCATTTAATTTTTTCTTAATATCATGTTTGCTTATGTCTTGTTGAACGTTTTTGTTTTGCTGTCTGCTTCGTTTTAATGTTTGTCTTTTTATTCATTTTTTAAAACTTATAAAGCAGCTTATCGTTCAGGGCACATAGGTAAGTAAGCACACGAGTTGCTGGTATAAAGGAAGTTATGTCAGTGGCTGTAAAGCTGGTCAGCCTTAGTAGCCATTAGCAGCTGTTGCTGTGTAAATATTTACTCCCTGTGTGAGGAATTGCCCTGACGGTTTGAACAAAATAGGACTCTAATACCATATTTCCATTGTTTCTACATTAATTGATCAAAAAAGACGACTGTGCGCTTTGAGTCTGAAGGCTTTTATGCTAAGAGAAACACCAGGTATTTTCCATTAGAGTAACAGGCATGATCATTTATAGCTTTCAAAAGCATCAATTTCACACTCTTTGGATTTTTTAATGGAAAGATGTTTAGAGTCATTTAGATTTTAAATCTACTTCTTCCTAAACTCTTGAGTTGGGTTTTGCTTGAGAAATACTTCAAAACTCTCTCTGTCTTGGCGAAACACTGTAATGCAAGTGTAGTAGATCCATCTTGCATTGTCCGTTTTCCTCTTGCTCTTCCCGAAGACACCACGAGGGCGAAGCGGGAGTATGAGGTGGATGGGCGGGACTACCACTTTGTGACCTCCAGGGAGCAGATGGAGAAGGACATTCAAGAGCACAAGTTCATCGAAGCGGGCCAGTACAATGACAATCTGTATGGCACCAGCGTGCAGTCGGTGAAATACGTGGCGGAACGAGTGAGTGTTTTGCTTGAACTTGGACACCGTAAACCACATAGCGAATGGGACCGTGGGATCTCGATTTCAGCATTTTCCGAAAACCAGTTGGTTTTATAAGCATTTTTCTGTATACCATAAGTCTTCAAGAATAGGTCGCAAGGACATAGCGTGTTTGTTGCAGTGTAGCCATATATGCGATTGGAGATTAGCACAATCATGTTTAAGGTTAATTTTTGATGGTTTGTCCATTGATTCTTTCATCCATATTTCAACTGCTTACCCATAGTTTGCAGGGCATCCTGGGTGCCTATCCTAGGGTGCTTAGAGCACACCGTGGGGGTTACATCAGGGACCGGAGGGCTGTCCTTCACAGGGCACATATACACATAAACTCACTCACAGTCATGCATTATGGGTAATTTAGAGATACCAGTTAGCGTGTCTGGACTGTGGGTAGAGTGCTATTTATAACTATGATGATTAACATTAAGAACATTTGCAAAAATATGTTCATGTGTATTCAGTTCACCATGCACCGTCAGTTAATAAATGAAATTGAATGTGGTAGGGTGACTCTACTCTCCTGTTCTCTTTCCTCCAGGGGAAACACTGCATACTGGACGTGTCAGGCAATGCCATTAAACGATTACAAGTAGCACAACTCTACCCTATTGCCATCTTTATTAAGCCCAAATCCATCGAATCTCTGATGTAAGTAGCCCTTCTGCTTCATCAGAGAGTAACACATTGGTGCGAGTTCCTGTTGGATGTGGTCAGTCCCCCATGAGATGTAGCTGGTTGGGGATGGGTTTGTTTTTTTTTCCCCAATACATCCGAGTCTTACTGTGGGCTGCTCTGTCTTTTCCCAGGGAGATGAATAAGAGGCTGACAGAGGAGCAGGCGAAGAAGACATACGACCGAGCCATGAAGCTGGAGCAGGAGTTCGGCGAGTACTTCACAGGTGAGGCGAGCTCGGTTTAGCCAAAGCTAAAATAACAAATAACGCATTTCATTCCCATGAACATGCCTTTTACGGGCTTGTTTACCTCCATGGTGTGTGGTGTGGTTTTGATCCAACACCCTGGTAAAGAAAAACGTTATTTCAAATATTATCAAACTCTATATTTTACCGTATATTGTTTGGACAACTGGATATGTCAACATATCAGACTATCTTTTTCCATTCAATGATGCATTCATGTCGGATTGTTGAGATCTGCCTCTGTTTCTGTCTTCAAGGTCATCTGTAGGGCTGGTAGTGAAGTAGGGATTTCAGTATTTAGAAGCAAAAGTAATTTCTGATGTTATTAATACCATTGTCTCTCGTTCCAGCCCTGGTTCAAGGAGACACCTTAGAGGACATTTATAACCACTGCAAGCTTGTGATAGAGGAACAATCTGGACCCTACATCTGGATCCCCTCTAAAGAGAAATTATAAAGGAGTACATGAGCCCAGTTTGGGATCCCGGACTATAAACATAGGAAATTTGTAACATATTATAAATTATTATGGCAATGGTTAATATTAATAGTTACAATGATTATGTTTTTGTTATTGTTGCATTTGTTAATTTTTTTAATTTAATTGTTCTTTTCATTTTCAATATGAATGTTCCTGAATGTACAACACTAAGTGTTAGCAACTTACTTTGGCCTCCAAAAAAATGAGCTGTTTCTTTATATATTTATTGATTATGATTTCATTTAAATTTGAAAAGGCAAAGGAAATGAAACCTACATGGGACATGACCCATGTCATCATGCTTGGAACTCCGCATGGAATGGGGGGGGGCAGGGCCGGGAAGGTGCCGCCCATCGCCCACAGTGCCCAGCGCCCAGTAAACAGTATCAGCTTCTACTAGCACTCAGAGCGTCTTCAGACCCTCATCTCACATCAGTGGTTGAAATATGTTGTGACTTCGGCATCTATGCAGTCTTACCGCTCTTGGACATTGCTCATTTGATCCCTTTTGTGTTTTTTTTATTATTTGATTATTTTATCAATCAGTTTCGATTGATACCTTTCTAGGATCATTTATAGTTTCAAATTGTTCATGTTTTTAGTGTATTCTGTATTAAGATATATATAAACAGATGCTTTAATTAGAGAGAACAATAAGGGGATACAGCTTGGTTTGGGAAATTTGAGACACTATATTTTGCTATTTATATTGATAGAGGGTACAACAGCACAGACGATATTTATAATGAAGATGTTTAACTTTGTAAAAAACGAAATGGAAAAAAAATGAAAAACCTGTTTTACTTCTGTAACATAGAGTGATATGGTAGCCGTAGTTTTTGATGGGAACGTTGTGAAAAACTCTGTGAAGATCTGTAATTGGCAGTCTCGGGGGACATGCTTATTGGTGCCCGGTGGTGACCAACACGTCTGCCCTGATTTAGTCACAGTGGGGTGTTTTCATTGCCCTGCTGAAAACTTGCATGAACAAAGGGGTGCAACCCCCCCCCTCCTCAAATGAGCACAAAACTCTGTCCCTTGCAAGTTCGTCCAGATGAGGAATATAAGCATGTAATGCTTGAATTCTCCATCAGTGTTTACAAAAAGCTAAAACAGCACTTGATATGTTATATTAAAATTGTATAGAAAGTTTGACTCATTGTTACTAAATTCTAATGAATTATAAAGAATTATAATGTATATGAAGTTTATGAATGTGAGGCATTTGTGTGTTTTTGTGCACAAATATGCATTATAGGCTAAAATGACTGATTAACTGGTGTTAATGATGAATGCAGGTTCTAGCTATATGATAGCTATAGCCTGTTTGTTCAAATAAAGTAATCAGGCAAACCTGGTGCAGATGCTCGTGTGCCAGTGTATCCAAACTGTGGCGCTGTGTATTTTACTCTTTTCTTTTTAATGACCTTTACTCTGCATGCGTAGAGTCCTTCCGCGTGTTGGTCACCACTCTTACTTCAGAGAGGAATGAGGGCTTTCCAACGCGGTGGGGAACATTTTTGCAATTTTCTATTCCTGAACACTTGGCCTCTTTGTAAGCTGTTTACACCTGTTGTTTATGAAACCAACTGCAACTTGAAGCTTAGAGGTATGGCCTTCTGGGTAACCCTGAGGAAAGTCAAAGCCATCTTTTAAATGCAAAAGACAAGCAATAGAATGACTGCTTCATCATCATCATCATCATCATATTCAGTACTATTATTATTATTATTATTATTATTACTGAGGAGTTAAGGACCATGTCATTTTCTATATTTCAAGGACAATTGCTCATTATTCTTTCCATCCATCCATTTTCTAGGTCAGGGTAGCTGTGAAGTCTGAAGTCTATCCCAAGCAACACAGGGCACAAGGCTGTGGTAACCCTGTATCCAATGCCAGGTCTCCACTTATTGTGTAGCATATCATTCCTAAAACAAGTGATTAAAATTTAGTTTTGTGACTTCCATTTCCCCACAAATGTTTCAAAGTGTTTACACTGACTCTGCGTGCATGGCGCATAGGAATGAAGATTAAATGAACCAGATAACCTTTGCCAGTGTGGTAAAAGCCATTTGAAAATGTGACACGATCTTTTTGTTTTTCATTTGGGATGTCCAGTAGAGATGGTGATAATTCCTCGTGCGGTGGGTATGTGTTTTCTCGGGGTTGCCAGATTGTGGATCCGACCGATTTGTCACGAGGAAATGCTGCCCTTAAGGTGTGAGACCTAGTGCAATTATTCAATTATTATTCAAAGGAAGAAAATCAATTTTAAAAAAACTACTGGTTAAGGAACCACTTTGTACAATGACATCTCAACACGTTGTACACAATGCTATCAGCCTGCTGGTAAAGGAAATAGTCTGTACGATGCCATTTGAACTTACTGGTTAAGCAAAAGCATTCCTCCTCTTTACGTTTGGGTTTCAGCATGTGAGCTCTTGGTCTATCCTTTTATTATTGTCATGTGTTGTGTATTGCGGTTAAAAAAGGGGAAAACAAAAATTGCAAGAACATAGGTTCGTAGTGTGGCTAGGCACAGTACAATCACGCCAAAACTTATGAATTGGTTCTTAGGAGTGTATTAATCATGGAGTTATGTTGATGTGATTTACCTTTTGTAGCTAACATTACATTGAATGGGTTTTTGTTGCCTCTTTAGTTCTGGTTTTTAAAATTGTTGTTGATGGTGTAAGATGTTGTACATACATCCCACGGAACATCTGCATCTTCATTTTAATCCAAAGCCATACCCCCTCTCTGAGTTTTTCTTTCAACTGATAAATTGCAGCCAATGGATTTGGTTCTTGTGTTTTTTCTCCAGCTGTGGATGTTGTATGTCTAGGCCAGAAACAGGTTAAAGTCCCTGGCAGACACCACCCTTGTTGGTTTACTCCATCTTAGCTGCATAACTTTAACCACACCCCTCAGTTCCTTTCAAATCACAGGTTTCATGATAAACACAGAAATGACACAAAGGATTTAGTCTTTCTTTTTATTGTAGATATATCCCCTTTTGCCATTATTCTAAGGATTAAAACCACACAAAACAACTGACTGATTAACACTGAAGTCTGGTCTTTAACTGTATTATTCTTTTGTTTGTTTTGATTTTTGTTTTGCGTCTTTATTTTGTAAAAGAAAATAAGAAAAGAAATAATATGGAACATGTCCTTTGCATCATGTTACAGTATATACTCCTGATTGCTTTGAAGAATCACTTTAAATACATTGCTTTAGGTAAACATGAAGGTACTATACTCAGCATCCATGGAAAAATGTACATTAAAGGTTTGGTGAGACTTTTAAAAGTATGTGGCTCTTCTCTTTCCCATCTTTCGTCTGTGGTCCAACCATTACAGTCACAGGTGGGCCAGGACTGGATTTCAGGTCTGTCGTGGTTTCTGTCCTTTTAGTTGATCTCAAGAAATGGTCATCAGACATCTGACCAGTTAAGTTGGATTTCAATTGTGGCATTTAATGTAGCATTGTTCCAGTAGAGGGCGCTACCTGCTTTGAGGTTTTTGGTCCGGCGTCTTTGATAAACATCTCGCATCTCTTTGCGATTCTATCATTTCCCGTTAAAAATGGATTACTAATTTGGAGTAGTGGGCGCTACAATAAAGCATAGAAGAAAAAAAAATGAACATTAATATTTTTCAGGTGTTTTTTTTTCTAAAAATTATACACTTTAAATTACAGTAAAAGAACTTAGGAGTCCAATGCCATAAACACAATTTCAGCTGTACACCAAATTATATTTCATTCTCAACCCTATGCCCTGAGGTCCGTAGAGATTTAATCTGCCCACAATGGCATTTGTTGATACAGTGATTTTTTTTGACAAAGATTTGCAAGTAACATTTTGTGTTGCTTTTTTGTTGTGTGAGCTTTGGTTACTTGAGTGCTGTAGAAAATTAGTGGTGTTTATCCAACGACATGTCTTGCAGTCAAGATAAGCAAGTAGATGTGAGGATGCACTTATAGTTTGCAAGCTGAATACTTGGATTTTCTCTTCTCACTTACAGCGTTGCCACCAGAAGCCAGGTGAATTGAGCTACATGAGGTTTGCACACATGGCCAGTAGTTATTGCGTTGCATCAATGGATCTTTTATGTCAGTTTTAGCATTACAGATCAATATGAAATGCCTGAACTTTGCCCTCGTAACTAGAAGGCTATGCATAATAAATGATATGGGAGCATAATAAGTGTCAGTTCCTTGAAAAATGTTTGCAATCTTGGGTTTGTCAGTAAGGGGGCGGAGCCAGAGCCATGTCCGAAATTACCCAGAGGATTATTCTTCCAAAAAAAATTGTATTTTCACCGATCAAGTAAAATTCAATGCAGGCTTCAGGTTTTTGCCTCGTAACCTTGCACCAGTTGAATTTGCAACATTGATTGCAGTTAGTTGAACTTTGTATGCAATTATTTGTAACTCTTGAAAGCCTCGGTGCAGCTGGAATTGCGTATTGGACCGTGTAATTAATGACCAGTGTAGTGAACTTACTGGGCACAGCTCAGTCGCTCTGCTTTAGGGCATCTTCACCTGTATACCCAGAAACCAAGCAGGATCCAGCAATGCTCTGTCCCAAGAGGACCCATTTGTACGAAAGTAGGTCAGACTAACTTGGTGTCTCTTTGAGTGCCAGAAAGCTTTCTAGGGCATCCATTTTACATAAACCTTAATCTGGACAAGATCTGCATCTATGGATTCATTTGGGAAGTAAATCAGTTGTAAATAATCTGAGTTCTTCAAATAGACTGCCTGATAACTATGTGTCATGTTTATGAGTGTGATGTACATAACTGGGAGTGACAGGTCGACCAATGGCAGCCGAGAGGAGCAGTCAGCCTGTCCAATGGTAATCTGTAGCACCTCTAGAAAAGCGATAATCGACTGTGAGTGGGGGAGTAGCTTCAGGTATAGTTACGGAAATTGGCTGCTCAATGTAGGGAGCTCGGTTTCTTGCATAAGAACTAAGTGTTGATTTTTTGAGGAGGACATGGCAAGAATATGATGGTCTTTCAAAAATAAGGCTTTGTTTATGTTAAATTTATTTGTTTCTCATGGTTTTTTTTTTTCTGCAAGTGGCACATGGAACAGCACCATGGCCTCACACTTCCTGTGCTGTATGTGGTTTCCTCCCAGAGTCCAAAAACATTGAAATGATTCAGATGGTGCCTCAAAATTACCCAATACTGAATTTTCAGTATTCTAATATTTGTTTTAAAACCATAAATGAAAAACCAGTTAGCCCAAGAGGTCATTGTTTTAACCTGTGTTTATGTAAGTGCAGAAATATATTTTCCTCATTGTTTGGCTAATCAAAGTCTTTTAGTAGCAATGGCACAAAAAGTCAAATTAAATGGAGTATAGTTCTAGGATCGAATCCCAGTGTGTTGTTTACATGTTCTTATAACTGCATGGATTCATTCTGGATTCATCCAGAACAATGGCAGGAACATCAAACACAAAAGTGGACTGATGTCATTGAATTACCCTTAATGTGTGTGTGTGTGTGTGTGTGTATGGGTGGGTCAGATAAATGTCCCCCAAAATGTGATAAAAACCTGTTATTCTGATGCTTTTGGGAACCATTTTCTCTGTCTCCACAAGGGGAAATTAATTTTATAAAAATCTGTGACTGCAATCAAAAAACTAAAAATGTCATATTTTGTTTGGTTAAGGTTAGGGCTGGGTAAGGGTTAAGGTTGTCATGTTGAGTTTTCCCCATAGAAATGAATGGAGAGTCCAACCATTAAGGGGTGGAAATTAATGGATATGCTGATGCAGTAAATTTGCCACTAATTTATGATTAGGTGTCTTCCTGACTGATTACACTCATATTGTATATTCTAAATTTACCTTGTCCTTCATCGGCTCCCCATTATTTATCACAAATGCCAAGTTCTTTCTGCGATTAACCAAAAAAAAATCTACCAGTTTTGTGTGACGTCCTTTGAAGGAACCCCGATGCACACAGAACACTGCCGCTCATTATGTCTGCCAGGGGGCTGATTATGTATTGTTTTAATTTCCAGTCAATAGAAACAGCTCTAACAAAAACAAAGAAACCCGCACTCCTCTGAGAGCCTTGCAAGTGACAGCTCTTAATTCAACTTTCACAAAGAAGTTTATATTATGCATTGCAAGAAGTCTTTCAGAGTCTGGCCTTCAATTATTCCCAAAATGTTGTTGTTATACAAAATGAAACCATAATGACATAAAGTAGTGTAATGAATTAATTCTAAAGTAAAGTGATTATGACACCAGGATAATACATTTGCATTTGGTCTTTTACAAACCATGTAATTCCCAAAAAGAATATGCTGGTGGGAATGGAGTGAGGTAAGCATTAAAAATTATTCTTGTCCATATACTGCCCTTTATCAAACCTAGTCAAACCAAGGGATTACTTTTCATCCTGCAGATAAGTATGTTTGTGACTGGGTAAGTTAACTCTTAATGGGTGTTGAGTCAATGTTGAGTAGACAGAACCCTGCCTACTGCAAATGTTATTGGGTACGGATGACTTTAAGTGGCCTCTGGAACAGACTGATGAAACTCTGATCAGACACTCCCCAAGTTACGATGGGGTTACATTTCGATACACCTATCGTAAGGCGAAAATATTATAAGGTAAAATGTATTTTAATACAGTTAACCTAGCCTAGCAAACATCATAGCCTAGCGTAGCCTACCTTACACATGCTTAGAACACTTACATTACCCTACAGTTGGGCAAAATCCTTAACACAAAACCCATTTTATAATAAAGTGTTGAATATCTCATGTAATTTATTGAATAATGTACTTAAAGTGAATACCCATCGTAAAGTTGAAATATCGTAACACAGACCATCGTAACCCGAATAGCGTCTGTACACACTTGGAGTGCAGGGTTGCTCAGAAGAGCTAGTAGGATGTGTCCTCACTAGCACTCAATCCAGCAAACACAGACTTGGGACTCAGCAAGGAAAAGCTGTGGCGTTGCTGGGCCTTAGGAATGTTCACTGGGGGGAACAGGGCTCAGTCCGGAAGAATATAAAATATACGTTAATTTTTGTGTGATGAAGGCTGCTTGGTCACTGCCTGGTCACAGAATCTGGTACCAAACTTTACTATCTTGTGTGTCTTTAGCTGCCTTCTAGACAGTGTATGTGTACAATTTTTATGACAAATACTTGCAGTCTTTCAGCGCCCACGTGAGTTACTCTTACATTAGTGCTTACATCCTTCCCACAGCCGCCTTTGTCCTGCCTTCTCCAGGCTGGTATGTCACTCCCCTCCCAATCTGCTGTGCTCTGCTGCTCTGTGCGATGATGCCACCATGCTTCATTTCCTCTCACAGGAAGGGCAAAGCAGCAGAGAACTTTACCAGCTCACCAGGCACTTTTCGACAGTAAGAGCTCAATGAAAAATGCTGCACTCTGTGCTCTCAAAAAAAAAAAAAACAATACAATCATCCAGCAGTAATACCGTCAGCGAATCTGTCGGACAAATCATCTGCATTTTGTGAGCACTTCTCAACTCCCAAATGCAGGTTTTCTCTTCCACTGGAACACGAAATGCGACCCTACGAGCAAATAAACGATTAGCTACTGCACTTCCTTGTTGTCATAGTAACCTTTCCCAATGTATGTAAAAAGCCTCAAGAAGCACCAAAGTGTTCCATCAAACTAATTAGCAAATAAATAGCTTTGCAATTTCAAGTTTGTCTGGGCTGACATTGCTTTAGGGAAAATTAAGATTTTTAATTTTTGAATGTTAGCAGAATGCTAACATAATGCAAAATAATTTATTCCAAACATCTTTTTCAAGGATTTTTCTGTGGTACACATTATATACAAATAAAATATTTTCGAGAACCTGTTTTGTTCTCGTTCTTTTCTCATTAGATATTATGTTAGATTTTCTGTAGGTCTATGCGGTTTGATTATGGGCAATGCCCTAAATAGAAGAATGAATAATATTCATTAGTTCAGGCAATTCAGGATCGCATTGTTTTTGCTTTTTGATGTGGTCCTGCTGGTGTCATCGGGCTGTGACCTGCAGCATGCACTCAGGCAGTTTGCAGCTGAGTGTGAAGCGGCTGGGCAGCCCCTCCATGTCTGAGGCCATGGTTCTCGACAAGAAAAGGGTAGATTGCCCACTACTAGTGGGGGATGAGATGCTGCTTCTAGTGGAGGAGTTTAAGTATCTCAGGGTCCTATCCTCGAGTGAGGGAAGGAAAGGAGAGGGAGATCGACAGGTGGATTGGTGCAGCATCATCAATAAAGTTCTGTCTTGGTGAAGAGAGAGCTGAGCCGGAAGGCAAAGCTTTCGATTTACCGGTCAATCTACGTCCCTACCCTCACCTATGGTCACGAGCTTTTGCTAGTGAGTGAAAGAAGGAGATCACAGATACAATCAGCAGAAATGAGTTTCCTCCGTAGGGTGTCTGGGCTCCGCCTTACAGATAGGGTGAGGAGCTCGGACATTCAGGAGGAGCTAAAAGTAGAGTAATTGCTCCTCTGCATCGAAAAGAGCCAGTTGAGGTGGTTTGGGCATCTATCTAGGATGCCTCCTGGACGGCTCCCTGGAGTGGTGTTTTGGGCATGTCCCACTGGGAGGAGGCCCTGGGGTGGACCCAAGACATGCTGGAGAGATTGGCTGGTGAGAAGAAGGTCTGGGCTTCCCTGCTTAGACTGTTGCCCCCACAACCCCACCCCAGATAAGCAGCAGATAATGGATGGATGGATGGATGGATGGATAGTTCAGGGAAATTTGATCTGCAATCCTCATAAAAAAAATTAAAAATTTTTTAAAAGGTGACAGTTCATGTTGACTTTGTAGAGACTTTGGAGTTCTTAAGTGAACAACCAAAAACTTCAGAATATATTATTTATGGTTACTGCTTCATAAAAACTGCTCCTTTTAATATGAGACTGCTGAAGAAAACTAATAACCTGGTCTTATTGGCATGAGCGACGGTGTAAGAATTTCCTCCGGAGATGGCACTGAGTAATGGTGGCCATTTGTATATCCCAGCATGCTCACAAGGCCCTTGTTACTGTAAGTACTTGTGTGTCCCCGATTGTCATGTGTGCCTTTGCCATGTCATATGTAAACCCTGTCCGATCCTTGTGTGATTTTAGCCATTGTATAAATTACCCACCGTGTGTATACCTTACTGTCCAGTGTCAGACCTCTCTGCATTTCTGTGTAATTTGTTTACAATTTGTTGATTGTTGTTTGGGTGTGGTTCTTTTAAGAGCTGATATTAAAGAGCATGTTCTCTTTCAAACGAGTCGTCTCTTTCGTTCCTGCCACTGTAATGCTGGGTAGCCGGTTATTACACTATTTTCCAAGTAAGAGTGACATCTTAGTTGCCATACTGGAACAGTTATCCAGTCATTCTACACCATTGCCAGTGACAAACACAAACACGTAATGAAAATTGGTTATTAGTGATAGGATGCTGTAAAGCGCTTTGAGACAATGTAATGTTGTGAAAACGCGCTATACAAAAATAAATGTGTTTGTTGAGGTTTGATTGCCAAAGTAATTAACCTACGGTATATTTAATTTTTTTACTAAGTGGCAGTGGAGTTGCAGAATTATTACTCTTACCATCTGAGTACACATGTTCTTTAATGTCCCAGTATCTCATTATTTAATGTCTCATTTTTATTACCTGTTTATTACTTCATACCACTGCTTGTCACCTAGTACAATCGTTTGTTTGCTGTTCTTATCTGTTTCAATATCAGTGATCTCACTTTGCATGTTCTTTGGTCAGCTGTATATCTCTGTAGTTACTCCATCTAACCCTGTACAAACCCATCCTGTTTAAGTGCACTGATGTCTCTAAATGACTCGGAGTGTGTGAGAAATGTGTGATGCAGTAACATCCTATCCAGTGTGCCTTGTGCTTCCTGGCTCTGATTCACGGTGGGTCCCTCTTTTAACAGGGAGTGTATGTTGCCATCCAGTGGCAGTTTGGGAAAAATGCTAAAGCTTCACTGAATGTATGGTATCTGAGGTGTGTTTTCATATGTTGTTACGGTTTTGAAAGCTATACATTATTTATTGACATCTTTTCAGTTTAAGCCAGTCGCAACAAATTATTATTTAGGAGATGTGTTCATCCAAAGCCACATATAGTTTTCAGAAAGCAGGTCAGATGATCACTGGAGTAATAACCATAATCCACCTTCGGGTGGTTTCATTTAGAACTTAAGTCCATTAACCTGTTCAAACTCTCTTGGGTCAACAATTCTGTAGTCAGTCTTGCCTTGGGTTTATCTACCCAGTGTCAACATGCTGGTTTCCTGCTCTGGACTCTTTGGATCAGTTTCTGCAGTAGCTGCATGCGAGCTAAACCAGGGGCAAAGGTGAAGTTACTCTATACAGGACATGAGATTTGAACCTAGGACCTTACAATCATGGGTGCCCATCTAGCCCTGTTGCATGTGTCTTTTCCCTGTTTGGCCAACAGTTCCTGCTTTAGAATTTAGAATTTGGTGATCAGTGATCATTGTTGACACACCACAGCACACAGTGCACATCAACGAAATGTGTCCTCTGCATTTAACCCATATGTGACATTGTAGCTAATTCAGTTTTCGAATTTCAGTTACTGTAATTACTCAGTCATCGGCGTGATGGAAATCACAAGATCGTATGATGGTGAAAACATCCAGTGGCAGATTTTTCTAACGCTTGCTGTGAGAACTGACTCACCTCTGCCATATCAGGAAGTTCATTTGCAAATGAAACTGAAATAGCATGCCACACCAATGGGCATGTGACTGTGCTTTATAAAGAGCTATTTTTCTATTGCTAAGCTGCATCTCACTTGAGTTAATATCACACACATTCTTTTTTGTATGTGCCTCCTTCCTGCTTCAGCACTTAAAACTCATATTAATGACAGCAGATGATCAGAAAGCGGTAATTCATTTATAAATGTTCCAGTTTAATGATACAGTAATTGTAGATGTGCTTGGTTACCTGTTTACTGACATGGTTATATTGCAAATTTGTGCACATGCCATTAATGTCACAGCATTGCTCCTTCTGTATCAAACTGGAAGGGCTTTCGAAGGTGTTAGCTTTCACACCACTGGTGGAACTATAGGCAGTGCAGCCAGTGCAGCCACACTGGAGCCCACAGAAACAGGAGACCCCATGGGGGTTTGATAGACCCCTTTTGTTGGGAGGAACAGGAAGCTATTGATCTATTAGTTTAAATTGCCGAAGCATGTTACATTGCATCATAAACCGCTGGACAGCAAACTATATATATATATATAATTTTGCTTTTTCTATGACAAGACTATAAAAGTTAATACGGTATACCTTAAGGATATTTCACAAAAAACATTCTATACATTTGTAACATTTAATGGTTGAGGGTCAGACGCTTTGTTTGTCCAAATGGACATGTGTCCAGAAATGAGAAGCCACAGCACCCCCCCAACCCCCCCCGGCGAAAAAAAATTTGGCACTGGAATCCATTAAAAGAAGCTTATGCCACTAGTTCTCCACAAATAATGACAGTAACAGAAGTGCGGCACAAAGAAATATCCCATTTACTTTTGTTGTTTCTGCTTATTCTACTGATTTATATAATCGCTTGGTGAATTCTGTCTGGAATAAAATAAAAAGAAGAAGACTGCAAAGTTAAGGACTTCTTTGTGATCAGTTTGGACATCACCACCCTACAAGCATCGTCCCCAAGGAGTCTCATTGATCCATCACTGAAGATCTACGGCTCCAGGGATGTCTGGGGGCTCGGTGTCGTTGGCTGAGGATGGCCGATGTAGGAATATATACCCTCATTTTGCTGCTCCTGGCTTGGACTGGAGAGTGAGGGGGGCTGGCTTCCTTGTAGCGTGTAGACACAAGTCGCATTAGTTTCTTCCTAAGGAGACAGATCCCAAAAGTGATTTAACTGCCACACATTCAAGGCAGTTTGTTGGCTCAAAGTACCGCACGGCATCAAATGTAGTTATTTTTCTCATTACTTTTATTATTACGGAAGTCATTCATAATCCGGCGACTGCCTGCGATTTCAACACGTTGGCCTATATACATATTTCAGCAGACTAAAAAGATGGTAGGCAAGTGGTGTGGGTTAGAGCAATGCTGAAAATACCTCCGCCATGTACAGAGGACTGGGTCAGAGGGGCTTTAGGCTTTATGTGCCTCGCCCACGGTAATATAACCACATGAGTTTCGGTGTGAATGTGATTGTGAATGTGCCTCCTTCTTTCTGCTCTTAAAACCATGATAACAGAAGATTTTCCATCTGGACATCCTCATTACCCTTGGAAGCCTAATTTATTTTTTTGCCAAGTGCATTGTGGACTCAGTAACACTATCTATGAATCGCTTGTCTATGAAAATCTATGAACACATTCACAACGCATTATAATGTGTTCATAAAGCAGTATAAACAAATAAAATATCTATAAATCCTTATGGAAAGATATAACACATTATAGCCCTGTTTATTATGCATTATGAATGCTTATCTACAATGCACTATAGATGCCTTCATAATGCAGTACAAAGCATCCTTAATTCTTATACCGACCATTATAATGCATTATAGTGACAGCTTCACTGGAGATTATGAAGTATTATATTCAACACCATAATGTCTTATGAAGATGCTGAAATGCTTTACTAATTCTTATACCAGTCATTATAATGCATTATGAAGGTATCTATAATGCACTACACATTACAGCTTTAATTGTTACTGTATGATGTCCACCCATGATATTTAAAAGGCATGACCTTTTCTGAATACTTTATTTTATAATGTGAATATTCTAACTAATGATTTTGTATGAAAATGTTCCACTCTAAAAAGGGACTCGGAATCCCAACCTTGGTGGTGCAAGTCAGTAGCACTGCCCACTAAACCACTGTGCCACCCATAGGAGTGTCCAAATTCACACACTGCAGACAGCACAACGCAAATCCTCATTCACTGCCAGTGGAATTCACCTTGGGTTCTCCGATTGTTTCATATACGTGATGATCTGTGGGTAAGAGATACGTCCTTTTTATTTAAAACATTTGAGCAATTAGTAGAAATCAATCTCAGTGACTGATTGTCCTGAGTCAGTATCACGTTTATAAAAAAAAGAATTAAAAATATATCACATTCAATTGATACAAACCAGAAGTGTCGTCTGGGAGCGTGTAAGCACACTCTGTCGCACTCGTATACCGGGTCTTTTGTGATTGTGCTGTTGCTGTCTTGTTACCTAGAGAAAGTTTCCGGCACCATTTCTGATTACTGAGTTTCTATTCTGTTTGCAGTGCCAAAGTACTTTTGCTGTTCTTGACCACCACTTGTGCTGGTGAGGAACTAACATGTTCTTAGGGGGAGCAGCTTCTTACCTTCAGTCGTCTGATCTTTCCTGCAATGGCCTGTGGAATTTTGGGAAAAATTAGAGGTCCAGTTAAACTTGGGACTTAGGTGATGAAATGCAGCAGGAAAAACAGAATTCAGAGGTGGGGTCCATGCCTCTGAGGCACTGCTATCAGTATACCTAACAAACAGGGTTAACAATTTATAATACTAACGATGAATCTGAGAATTGGTACTCTGACAGATACTCTTACCCAGATAGCATTTCCTCAGGCAAATGATGGAAAAAACAATAAAAATGATAGCTGCAGAGGCAATTAATGCTATGACAACCCTATCTTGCAGGGTTGCAGTGGATGTAGTACTTTCTCCGCACAAAGGCATGTCCTCACCTAAAACAGAGCAAAATGTCACATGATGATTTGGGCACCATCAACATTGATCCCGAAGAAGCATAACTCGTACTCGCATAAACTTTTCAGGACCGGGTTACCATGCAGCGTTTGGTTATGATTATTGCAGTATCCATGGTACACAGTTGTTAATTTATGTTATTATATGCCACTACCTTCTTGATGACTGTACTTCTATGTTTCTTATTTAGAACCACATTGATTACATGTCAATAATTTTGATAGATGTACATGAAGACCAGGGGCCTGTACTACGAAGCAGGGTAACTGACTTATCGGGGTAACTTGTCGGATTTAAGGTAGTCTGGGCAAAATGTAAGTGAACGAATATGAAGTCCATTTAAACTGTGGTACCTTAAATCCGACAAGTTACCCCGATAAGCCAGTAACCCCATTTCGTACAGTAGTACAGGCCACAGGTGTGACAGGAACTAGTTGAGATTCACCCCATCCAGTTCTCACCAGTAAGGCGGATGTGAGCCTCTTTCTCACTCCGGCCATCAGTCACCAAGCAGGTGTAGGTCCGGCAGTCTTCCACAGTCATATTATTCAAGAGCAAAGTCTGGTTTCCCTCGCTCAAAGTGTATCTGTCATTTAGAGAGAGAGGCTGCCCATTCTGCAGCCACTTCCTGAGTATTTCGCCTGCTGCTGTGTCGTATTTGCAGGTTAGTGTCCGATGAGAATCGTTTACGTGGATGTGGATCTTGGGAGGGGCTGCATAAATGAGAACATAGCTGAAGACTGACAGCACTGTAGTGATGATGTATTACAATAACACACAAACAGATCGTATTTGGAAAAAGAGCTAAATAAGAATGCATGTGTTATATGTATTTATGCTGGTTTTTAATTGAAATCTTATTCTCATCCATCCATAGCACCATCTATCCATATACGGTGGCAGTGTTTTATACGATTAAGAGATTCAGTTATAGATATATAGATATAGTATTATGTGTAAAGTTAGAACTGTCTAGTGACATTTATTTAATACACCGTAGTCCTCTTTCTTCACTTTATCCAAGATCGGGATACAACTGTTAAAATCATTGGCACTAACAGTTCAGGCACGAATACCAGCGTTATTAGATATTATTACAGAAAACAGGTGTTGTACTTACTATTGACCCATAAGGTAATATTGTAAGATAGTATTGTAGCATTTTTATATTCCAGGCTTGCCTCATAAACACCTTCATCTTTTTTCTGTACCTCATAGAAGATCAGGCTTTGATTATTGAAATGATACTTGATACGGCCTTCATATGACGAATAATACTTTGTATCATTATAGACTACATGAAGAAGAACTTTATGTGTTTCCTTTTCATGTTTCCTCCATGTCATACTATAGATTTTATTAGTTTGGTTTATATCACAGAATTGTGATGACAGCACAGCCTTTTCATGAAGTTCAGCTGAAACGTCTCTTCTGTGCACTGATGTGTTTTGGGCTATAAGACAAGGGTAGGACAAACAAGGGTGAACAAATGCTTTCATACGGGCTGTTAAATGTACAAACATGAAAGCATTCAATAAATTAAAACCAGCAGAAAGAACTGACATAAACCTTCTTTCTGTAGCATAGTAACCATAATGATTATTTTAAAGATACTGCTTTAAAACAATATTAATTTGATTAATAACATCACTAATCATCAACACCAACAGCCAATCCTTAACAAACAAAATACTCAATATGCAAGAATGCATGTTATCATCAGTTCTTTCTTCTGTTATAATTATCTCTGGAACCTCAGTGGATCGAAGCCTCATTGCACTTCATAACAGTATTACTGCGTCTTCGTCTTGCAGTCTGTGACTTAAAAATGTTTCTCAGCTTAAAGAACCCAAGTTAGAACCTCACCAAAAAGCACAGAAATGTAAATGCACATGTACAGACTTGTAGATAATGATAAAAGAGCTTGAGTTATGTAGATTATTACATTTGATATTAAAAAAGCAACCTTAGCTTAGCTAGCACGCTACCTGCTGCCAGTGTAAATAAGCTGGACATAATAATAAATTAAAGTTATGATGTTGACTGACCTGTTTTGACGGTGCATAGAAGCAAGATGAGATATAGCAGCACCGTGGCAGGAATCCACAGCGTTTCAGGTGTCAGCATACATTTGAGCTTCATAATAACCTCACCTGGCATCATTGTATTTTACAGAGAAACCCTTCTAAAGCTCCTGTACAACATGAAACTCCTGTAGATATGTGTGCTCTTCTCATCTCTGAGTGCTCATCAGTTGCTTCATTCAAGGACTAAAGCACGGTTAAAAATGAAACCTCTCCTAGCTATACTGAGAGCCCTGGGCCAATGTGCTGATCTTCTTCCTACACCACTTCTTCAAATCTGGTTAGGTTTGTAGACGGTGATGCAGAGCACAGTCAGCATGTTCTTCTCTTGCTCTTTCTCTGACAGAAAGTCATAGGAGGCCTATGACTGTATATACACAGACATTAAACAACAGTGTTTATACTACCAAAGCTAACACAGTCACACAACAAAAGTAAAAACATCAAACCAGCAAACCTTGGTTGAACTAACTGCATTTGAGATGACACAAGAAGCCAGTTAATCTCCAGCGTTTATCAGATGTGATGATTGTCATTATTCCAGATTAAAATTGGTAACTCCTGTAAGCCTCTGTTACAAGTAACTCAATAATGGGCAACACAGAATCAATCTAGAGAATACTTTGTGGAAACGGTTGTATATATCTCCAGTCAAGATCTGTATCACAAAGAACTGGAAGTCATATCACAGTACCAAAACCATGCAAAAATCAGGTCCTAATCTAGTCAAAAACCCACACTGAGGCTTGCTTGTTCTATGCAAAACAGCACTCTGTGCATTCTGAATCTACAATGAAAAAAATACTTTGCAGTCTGATGAAACCTGAAGAATATTTTTACCACAATGTAGAGAGTTACTTGAAGAAAGCCGGCTGCTTTCTGGCAGAAAACTGACATTGGGAGAAGCACTTTACATTGCAGCAGGACAGTGACCCAAAGTACGCTGCTGAGTGGCTGAAGGTAAGTAAGGTAAACTTCCTGATGTGGTACAGTTACTGCCCTTACCATTCATTATATACAAACATGCAGATATATTTTGATGGAAATCTCAGTGTATCTATTTTGAATATGTAGAGGTAATAAAACACGATAGCTAACCACATGACTTAATGTTATTTAGGAAAATTCTGAACATATATCGGATTCAAAACTATTCATATCCTGTAAATGCATTGACATGTTTCATGTAAAATCTAGATGGAACTTTCCATGAGAAAGTTGTGCCATGCTTCATCGTGGTCTTTGTAAACATAAATAGTATAGTATTCAGGAATTCAGTGTGTTGTTTGAATTGTCTGGTTTTCATCTTAGTGTGGTCCTAGATCTTTTATCATCTATGCTTGCTTTTGTAAGAGATCTTGAGATGTTTTTTTGTATTTTTAAATGAGATGTTTTTGTATGTATTTTTTAATAAATTTTAGATGTAGCTATTCATAAAGAAGGTTAAAATGCTAGTATGACTCCTACTGAAAAAAATTTGTACCTTGGCAGTGTAATTATAAAACTTAGTCCTAGGCTAAAACTGACGTGTTTGCTTCAGTTTTGCTTCAACCAAATGATCTAGTTTCAAGAAATGAAAGTGGAAAAAAGAAGACCACTGACATAGCCAAATACCGTAACTGAAGGGGAGAAAATATCTGACCACACTAAACTCCTGCTGCTCCTAGGACAAAAACAGTAGCTGAAGGCCTCGCTGCCCTAGGAGAAATCCATGCAACACTTGTTCTTCATCGTGGAGCTGCAGCTCGCTGATTGAATACACAAACTCAGTCACAGATGTTAAAGAGTATGCAGCTACAACATCATGCTGATATTTGTGATCCTACAAAGAGGACAAAGACTTTTACAAACCAAAAGCCAAGTGCATCAATCTCTTAAAGAGAGATTGGTCAAACAGCTGATACTTTAATGGTCTGAGGCCCAGTGCAGCCAGGTGTAACCTGGAGAGTACCATCAGACACACAAAGCGGAATCAGAACGCAGGATAGAACCACAGAGTGCAGGTACCAAAGCAACTCGATTACACTTTCTCATGTCACACTAACTGATCATCTGAATAACGTTCTGCGACACATGGACTTGGCAGAGTGAAGCAATGGAATTTATGCTGCAGCTGCCTGAACAGGATGTGGGGAGGACTTTCAGGAAGGTCAAAGCCTGCGGAGCTGACAACCCTGAAGATATAACTTCCTGTGCTGTCTTCTGTACTTTGACAAGTCTACAAACGCTGAAAACATCAAGGGTGCCCATGCCTGAATGGCTATTGATGTAGCACCACAGTGGTCATGAAGTTCAGGTCAAACAGGCCAATGGATGATGCTGGAGCTCCACACCACTACTGAACAGCTGGACAACTGGCACTCACCAACTCTCCACTGGGTCATGACTGGCAGAATTGGATGGTGACAGGGGCGCAGTAAGGGCATGGGTACCAGGGCAGATTCAGGGGGGCAGCACTTTACAAGAGCGCTTGAAAACATTAAATTATAAAATTACATGATGTAAGTGAGGGTGGGGAACTCAAGGCTGGACTTTCACTTCATGCATGACATGATGCCAGAATCTGAATGACCAAGTCATGAAGTTTGCAGATGATACCGCAGTAATTGGTCTTATCACCAATAATGATGAATCCTCACAGAGGAGCGAGGCGGTGGAGCTTGTGTTACAACCACAAATCGCACCTTGAATATCAATAAAACAATAGAGGTCATTGTGGACTTCAGGAGGCCAAGCCGGAATCACACACTAATCACCACTGATGGATCTTCTGTGGAAACTGCCAGAAACTTCAGGTTTCTCAGCTTCTATGACCAGCAGGACTGGCTCAATTTTCACAAAAACCTTGGGGTGATGAAATGCGATTTGGATTTCCGGTCCAGCTCACTATAGAGCTGTATCAAATCAAAACCCCCATAGAGGGTGAAATTTAGAAGGAATTCAGTGTCTCAAATCGAAACTCCCATCACATCACTTAAAACTGTAATGTTTTTTCAAGTACATGTTTGTCTCAGAAGGTTTTTGAACATGATATTATTTCAAAAGTAGATCACTACGTGTGAAATTGATGCAAATCATCTCCAATCAGAGCTAAATCCAATATATAGAATTATTGCTAAGTTGAACCATATCAAACCATGGGCCTAGATGCACATTGTGCTGCCTCAGGGAGAGATGCATGACCGGAACCTTCACTTCCTGTGATGGGGGACCACACATCAGCTTCTACTGCAATATCATGGAAAGTGTCACCAATAGTTCTACAGTGTGCTGTGGTTGAGGCACCGCTCAAAACAGGAAGGCATTACAGGAGGTTATAAAGTTTGCTCAGAAGATCATAGAAACTGCCATGTATCGAATTGATACTCATCGATTACCACTGCAGCAAAGCAGACACTGACTTCCCAGGCTCAAACCACCCTGAACATACACCCATGAATTATTCTCAATGATTTAATGCAGACTGTTGTAATACTTCTTGCTCTAGCACTTTATGTAAATAGTAATTTTTGCATGTCAGTTGCCTATTTATTTGTATACTGTTGTTCTTTGTACGGTATGTGAATGATTGCATAAGCATGTCAATGCACTCATTGAACACGGCTAATAAAGCATCATGAAAGTTGAACCTTCAAGACAAGGGAATAGTTGGAGGAAGACAGCTCAAGGCAGAAAACTGCAATGCAGTGAAGGGAAAATACAGGAAATCACTTTGCAACTTCAGATGAGCAGAAATTTACCAGATTGGCTGGTGAATTGGGAGGTTCCATGGTCATAAACAGAAAGTAGATGAATCCTGCAACAGAGAGTGTAATGACCCAATAATCAAGGAGGACCTCAGATTCTGTGAAATGCTACTTTCGAGTGCTACATGATTTCAGCCTGGGAAAGCTGAGGTGAAAACAGGCTAGATACATCATCAAGAAGCACACTTTTTGGACCATGCTGTTTCATACTGAGCGTAGCAGGGAAGATCTTCATGGCTGTTATAGGTGACTAACATGCTGGAAAATCAGTACATACATAAAGCTGTACAAAAGACAAGATGAACAGGATTTCTGGTTGTTTGGACCACAGCAGGAGCCACTCCTAGATCAGAGAGATGGAGGAGCAGAAAACATTTCTGGAGATTAGACATCCTTCTTAGACCTTCCTAAAACATCATCTGCAATGTGGTCAACATAACCCTGAAACAATATCATGCACATCTAAAGACTCAAGAATTGTCTAAAACATTACTTCAGTAATTTCAGAATGCCAGTCATAGTAGGTTCCTATACAGTTGCAGCAATCAGCCATAAAGGGCAGCGTGTGGCTCAGTGGGCTAAGCCATGTGCCTGTAATCACAAGGTCGCCGGTTCAAGCCCAGCCTCAGCAGCCTCAGGTCTACAAAGAGCAAGTTGAGGGAGGCATAAAAAGAATTTCCCCACGGGAAGGTGTTCATTAAAAGATCACCAAAAAGATAAACTGAAGATCATCAAAAGAGTAACAGCCATCGATATGGGCTGCTGCAGACAAAATGTCGGTACACAGGACTTTCATGCACAGCAAATCAAGCAACATTATCTTAAGAAGGATGGACGATTTACACATGCCTGCAGAGAAGCCAATGAAGATCTTGAGCATATGGTTTGACACAGAGAGTGCAGCAGAGCAAGTACAAGAAGATCAGCTATGAAAGTTAGACAAGAAGAGTTTCCTAATGAAGTAGAAGGCCTGCTGTAACTAGCATGCTATTCTGCCTCACTTTTCCTGGCTCTTGCAGAGTATCCATGACAACACTGAAGGCCATGGAAAGAAACACCAGTGGACAAGTGGGTATTGAGAGAATGGCTAGTAATCAACAGGAGCTTCAACACGGTGAACCTCTACAGCTCAGACACCACCGTAGCACTACCACTGAGGAACATAATGGTGGAGCTGAGTTTCACCATAGCCAAGACACGTCTTGCTCCTGCTTGAGTGTAAGGATGTGTGGTCTGAACAACTGGAATAGATGGGAAATGGCCAGCAGAAATCTAACTAGCCATTATGGGAACCCCAGGTACAGGACAGATTGGGTTGGGATGCAGTAGGGAGCCCAGGTTTGGGGAGGACAAAAGCAGGAGCCACCACACATCAGAACAATAAATCAATATGGATTGTTCTATTTTCTAAGACCATAGAATGGAGATAGGTGTGGCACGCCCATCCTCATAAATATCACACGCCTGATGGCACCTCAACCACAATTTTTTGCAGGCACCAGGGAGACCTTTTGCAGTATATTACACGATATTATAAACACCATATTTAAGTGTACATAATATGATGAACAAAACAAACCGTATACACAAAATATTGTTAAAAACTTTTAGAAGAATGATTCTGTTTCTTTACCTAGTGGTTAAAGTGACATTTTAATAATGATACTAAAACTAGGTCATGACTATTTACACTGTCAAACTGCTCTCGCATACAAGCTGTCTCGTCTCATTACTGATCTTTGATTTCAGCCCTTGACATATACTTTGACCTCAAGCTCTCGAAACCTCCTCCTGTCTAGCAGCTCACATGGCTGCAAACTCCTATCTTTAGCCTTCTTTTAAAGACTTCTTCAGTGGTGAGTAATCTTACTGCAAATGTTTTTTGAGTTAGTCTTAACTTATGATCATGCAACCAGTTCAATATTTGGCAGCAAAGAAAATCTGGAAAAAATATCGATACATTTCACACCAAAGATTAAATTAAACTAAATTAAGAACAAAATGAATAAACTGAGCCAAACACATTGATTCCAGCTTATAAGTGGAGGAAAGGTGTCTTTACTTCTTTAAATAGCACTATCTTAACTAAAATGGCATTATCAGTGAGTTAGACACAAACTGAACAGAAATTTTATTAAACAATATATGCAAATTCAAAGGATTCTTATATATATATATATAAAAAAACAAGTTTAGAGGGCTAAAGCTTTGTAGATTTACAGATGCCTATATATTCTATTTCCATCAATTCTGCAAAGTTAAGGAAACAAAAGCCTTGGTGTAAAGCAAGAATCTAAATATCATCTGCACCTGAGGTTTGAGGCAAAACATTTCAATGCTCTCTCTAAGCCCATATAATAAATTGTTTTCATTCTCAACAGTCCACCAAACACCAATGCCTCTTCCAACACAACCATTAATCCATAAAGTACAAATGGAGTACAGATAACTTAAATATTCAGATGTAGTGTATTATTAAAAAATATATAATTAAAATTGTCTGTAGTGTGGAACATTTCGATATGCGTGAGACCACCGACAATGAAAGTTGTCCCTGCTGAAAAAAAACTGAGCAGCTTCTTCTCAAGAAACTTCACACTCAGGGGCTGGACTGTTTCAGAAAGGCTGCGACTCGGAATCGCCAGGCCCGGAGCGTGGGGCCGATGGTGTGCGAGTCTTTTGACCTTCTGCCAGGGCTTTGAAGTGCTGGAACAAAACAACAACATTTTACAATGAACGCAAGCACAGCTCCATCCAAGACCAACAGAGCCCGGCTTTAACCTGACCTCCCCAAATTATAACATATCTCCTTTATATTATCAGGTCTTCATTTACAGAGAAGCATACTGTGTTACAAAAAAAGAAACCACAGGTGTAAAATTACTCAAGCTTTTACACAAACACAGGTACCCAATTAATAAAAAAGGGGCTATCACAGTTTATTAAGAATTTTCATACCTAGTGCTGCAATTACAGGTATAAACTTTTTATTTGACAAATATCCAAATTTTATATACAGTATATGAAACTGTTTGGATTTCGTAACATTTTAGCAAAAATTCAATATGAAAATACAGACACTCCTCAACTAATGGCCAAGGTCTGTTCCTATGACTAGGGCGTTAAGTGAATGGCTCGATAAGCCAGGAGCTGCCCCTTACTGATATTTCAAGCATATGGTTCTGGTAGTCGGATTGTGTCAGCCATCTTTAGGTATTGTTTTAATGTCACCTTTGCACAATTTATAACATTTTTAGTATATTAATAAATGTTTATACAGAAGTGCAAGTCTGTATATGTATACATTCATGTTTACTTAACATATATTTACAGTGTGCAAATCGATTTTAATTATTCAGAATAAAGAAAAGGCCCAAAGGAAACTCCAACTTGATAACTTTGTTTTAATGTGCATATCTCGAGTTCATGAAATTGACAAACAAAATTTTTCGCTGATTTTACGCTTGTCGCTGATACTCTGATTATACACGTTGAATCTCCGGCAATACAAATTTAAAGGCGAAATATGTAGTCTTAGAGATAACAAACATTAGTGTAGTGATTACAGACTGACTGCGGCAACGAGACTGAGACTGAGAAAGGGTGATGTGAGATGAGATGCTTGATGCTGGGACGCCACACTGCCGTTTCCACGACCACAGTTCTCATACAGCGTACAATACTGACTTGTCAGAGAGCTGGTCATATGTCCAGGCGGTCGTTAAACAAGTCGGTTGTTAAGTGAGGAGTGTCAACATTAACATTTTATATATACTTGCAGAATTATTTTGACTAAAGTTACTAGTGTCAATTTTTTTTTTATTTCCATTAGAATACTGCTTCATTTAACTTGTAACAAACGCTCCACATTTATGTACTACCTGTGAATTCTTGAACTCTGAATAGAGTGTGAACAGCACGTGGAGGGACTGGATGCGGCTCTTGTATATTGGAATGTCCAAGATGCCTACAAAAAAGACACAAAGCGAATGACCCTCCCCTCTTTTGGAGATGCCAGTGAAGGAAATGCGTAAGAAAACAAACAAACAAACAAACAAACAAACAAACATACCACATATGATGTCGATGTACTCTGCCAAGTCACAGTTAATGTCTGCGGTGGGCAGAGTGACCTAACAAAAGGAACCCGGGAGAGAGCGCCAGTGAATTCAAAACATACCTAATACAATATAAATTATGCTATTTTACATTTGTTAAACTGATAAAAAAGCACTAAATATTTGAACATGTTATTCTGGCATTAGTTTATGTATTGTGTTGTATGTTGCTTTATACCCCTGTATTTGGGACTAAAGAACAGTTCAGAAATAACATTTATACATATTTAACTCTAAATTCTGCACCTGCATAGCAAAACAGAAAGATCTAAGAAGAGCAAAAAGAAGAAGAGCAAAAGCTGATTTAGCCATACATAATCTAAAGCAGTATTTCCCAACGGGTCCCCCCTATCGGAAGCTGTGAGGGAGCAAAAACATGGACAGCCTGGGGGGGGTCACTAAATACGACCATCTTACCTTCCCAAGAAGCTCCTCAAACTCAAGAGGCCATTCCTGCATCAAGGTGTCGATATCAGGCATTGGCCTAAACAGAGAGCAGCACAGTGACCTTACATCCAGCCATGTGACACAAAACACTGCATCCAAGGACACTTACCTGGTGTAGTGTACCGTGGCAGGAGGTTTAGAGCGATGAAGCTCACTGATGCTCTCAATCCAGTTCTCGATCGCTTTGGAATTCTTCTCTGGGTTTTCGAGGCTCTTCACCTTAACTTCCTGGAAGTTTTAGAGAGAGAGAATTGCAGCTGTTGCTTTGTAAGCCAGTGTGGGGAGTTCATCCCTGTCTGATACTGGCTAGAGACACACTTAGACTCACGGTAATGTTGTGCTGCTTGCTGTTCTCCGAGAGCCAAAGAGACAGCACCGTTGGGTCTGACTGCTTGGTACAGGGTTCATCCAGAACCAAGAGGCCCAGGTTATCAGGTTTGCCATCTGGACGTGGAACCTGAAATCCAGTCAACCGAGTCACATTCAGTTATGGGGAAAATAGCAGGCTGAACTTGGAAGGATGAAAAAACATCTGAAGGCAGAAAGAATAAGAAATTCCTCCATGTTCAGTTTAAAGAATGTGATGGCTCACCTTCAGAAAAGCATCAATGTCACCCACTGCAGGGATGAAGTCAGGTATGAAAGGTTTCAGCTTGTGGTCCAGCTCAATGGTCGGAGGCGTGTACCTAAAACGTAATATCAAGGTACTTCTCACATCAAGCCCAATCAGAAAAATTCTGATAATTCTTAAGAAAAATTGAGGAAAAACAAATGCATTGCTTGACATTTCAAATTCACAACCCTGGAGGTGTGAGTCAAAAATTTAGGAAACCCCTCAACAAGACATCATTCTGCAGAGAAAGTAAAAGACCACTCCTTTTTCAATTTTCATTCTTGTTTCCTCTCAACTAGCCTAGGAACTCTCTGGGTTGTGTGATTTTACTCACCGAGTGATGTACTGAAACAGCTCTTTGATCTCAGCGCTAACTGGGAGGTGGTCATAATCAGCCGGGTCATATGCCCTGTGATGAGGCAAGCACACCATAATGAAATCACACTCAGAATGCATTACATTTAGCAAACACTTTAATCCAAAGTGACATATACGTTTTTGAGACAGCAGGGTCAGTAAGTCCCTAGAGTAATTAGGGGCTAAGAGCCCAATGCTGAGATCACTCTGCTGGCAACAGGACATGGCAACATTCCGATCACAGGCACAGCATCCTATACCACTGAGCCACACACTGCCCATGAATACAGCTTCCCTTTAAGGCCAAATAAATTCTTTTGGAGTTCATGGCCCACACACTGTATGCACATCTCAAGTTTTACCATAGTCGTACATTGTTCTGCACTTGCTTATTCTTTAATTTATTACCTTCACTACTGGCTTTTATTTATATATTTATTGTCTTTTTACTTATATTATCATTTGTTGTATTTCTTTCTGAACTATTATACCCAGTACTACTATACCACTATAAAGACTTCTATTCCGATGGGATCAGTAAATGCCCATCTTATCACGGGAACATTTCGGCATGAAGAACAAAAGAAGCATGACAATAGCAATGTTGTACCACAGTGGATCCATTATGCTTATATATAAATTTAATTCCTCTCTGGACTCCACTCACTCTGACTCATCAAGATGGCTCCTATTTTGATAGGATGAAGACTCTTTCATTGTACTGTATCAATGTAATGTTTTGTGAAGTGGCAATAAGATCTATCAAATATCAAAGAACAAAAAGTAAACAGAGTAAATAATTACAAATCGATTAATCCTGTTCACAAGGATAAGCCTCTATCTCATCCTTTTCTTTGCTGTCACTAAGCAACACTGCTATAGTTTTGGTGCAATTTGTCTCAAAATTTCATCAGGTCCAGATTTTCACCCATACAATGACCCTGCAAAGATTGGAAAACATCAGCAAAATAATTGTTTGAGTTATCATGCTCAGAAGATCAATTGTCTGAGCTGGTCTTCTCTTTCCTATTACTATGCAGCGCTGCTTCAATCTCGGTGAAATTTATCACAAAATTTGAGTAGGACCAGATCTTCAGCCTTACAACATGGCAGCAAAGGTTGAAAAATATCTGTCGAATACTTTTTGAGTTATTTTGCTAATGGTATCAAATGTCTGAAACTACCCTTTTTTGTTATCACTATGCAGCACTGCTTCAGTTTTGGGGCGATATATGTCACCCCTACAATGTGCCTCCAAAGTTTACATAAGATCTGTACACTACCTTTAAAGTTAGTGTTCACAATACTAAGTGTCTTCTATAACTGTAGTTTCCTTCCTTTGTTGCCACACAACAATGCTGCTAAAACTGAAACAGCAATTTGTCTAAATATAAAACCACGTGTAGATCTTCACCCATATGTTTTTGTGAAGCAGTAATAAGATGCATCAAATTATTTTTTGACTGATTACATTTACAAAGGTCAAATGTCACCTGCTTGTACCCTTCCATCTTCAATTTAAGAGTGATCTGTCTCAAAATGTAACCAGTTCCAGGTTGGTACCCAAACAATGCCTCTAGTTTGAAAAAGATAAGACAATAACTCAAAAAGTTTTTGATGTAACAGGCTCAAAGGTCAAAACTGCCCTTTTTCCTATCAATATATGGCACCGGTTCCATTTTGGGGCAATCTGTCTCATAATTCAACCAGTTTTAGTCCATCATTGATACAGCGCCCATACAAAGTTTGGAAAAAATGTGCCAAACGGTTTCGAATAATTGGTTTACATACCAAAGTGTCTGCAGCAGCGATGGAGGCACACTGTTTAAACTGTATGTATTCCCTGAAGACTGAGAAATGCAATTAGAAGCACACTCATCCTTCTGAGTAAGTGATGCTTCTCTGAAGACATTTTATGTTTGTGTTTTTGGAAATCTTGCCCTATTCAAAATGCTGAGTAAACTATAATGCAAACATGAGTTGATAGTGTTAAAATGTAGCTACATCTTACCCTTCTGGAGCAGATACCTGGTCTCCTTCCTCTTCATCTGACTCTGTCTCATCTGAACCGTCATCATCATCGTCGTCGTCATCATCATCATCATCGTCATCTTCGTTATCGCTTAAGGCTCGCTGACCTCCTGGATCTGGTTCCTTCTTTTTGTGCTGTTTCACAACAGTCAGACTATTAAGTCAACCAAAACACTCAAGGAACCTCAGTTTTCATGCAGCTCATACGGACTAATATCACTGATAAACATTTACCAGTATTTCTACAAAAATCAATAAGTAAATGCATGAATTTAAGACGATGTAAAAACATTTACAGAAATGTATATTACATAAACAGCTATCGCATACCTTTGTTTCGTCTTCCATATCATCATTGCTTTGATTTGTCATGCCACCTTTCGGCCTCCTTGCTTTTCTGGAAACTGCTGTAGAGGAGTTACGGAGAGAAATGGTCAGAGTCTGTAGTCAGATCAGGGGCTAGGTCAAGTTTTTGAAGGTAGATTGGCATCGGGGCTAAAATCGACATCGAGCTAACGACGCCCATGGTCAGATTAAGAAGTTATTAATTTTTTGTAGTGTATAAATTAATAAAGACATATAAGAATAACCTGTCTGTCGGGGCGAAGGAGTGTACACGCTGGCGATCTCCTCTGAATCGTTCACATCCAGGCTTTCATCGTAATGCTGGTTAGCAATCAGTTTGGTCTGCCATCACCATAAATAAACGTACACACCGTTAAATACACAGGCACTACGCACTAAATATTGCGACGTATACCTTAAGGACATGTTTACTTTGTAATCATTTTGGTGGCAATGAACATGTTGAACGTTTAGCTATCTCGTTAAGTTATTAGATAACAGAAAACCAGCTCGTCAACGATTAGAGGCGTCCAATTAATACTCTTATTTAGCTACGGTACATATTTTACTAGGTATACTAGATATATTGTAGTGACGTGATGGTTTCGTCGTGTCGCTATTAAATACTCATACATATTCATCTTATTTGAAATGCGTGATAATTTGTCCTTGTCGGGATCTAAACACGATTTACTTGACAAAATAGCTGGCTACCTTCTGTCGCTGTGTTTTCTCCATGGAAGTGAAGCAGCTCGACGTCGCCCTGGGAAACCAAATCTCGCGATAACAGTAGATCCCTCGCGGTGCTGGTGTTCTGTCGAACCACGCATCCTATCGAAACGTGCTCTAAAGCTGTTCTGCGCACGCGCAGTAAGCATTTCGCCTCAAACTCGTTATAACACCGGTCTGCAGACGTAAGAAAACCGAGCGGAGAGTGAGTTTGCGCTGTCCGAACTCTTGCGTTTTTAGGCTTCATCCATTCACCCGTCCAGTTTTGATTGTTTATCCTAGTTAGGGTTGCAGGGCGCTTGAAGCCTATCGAAGGAATCACAGAGCACTAGGCTGTAGTACACCCTAAACGTAATGTTTGTGATTCACTTCGTAAATCATTTCCTGCGAAGTGCCTTAAAAAAGCAGAGTACTCACAACCACAAATTTCAAACACTACCTAAAGCCACTTGATTTCCATGAACATGATTTGCAATGCAATTTTTTTTCCTCCACAATTGATTTCTTTGTTTGTTGCTTACTTTGTGACACTGTGGTGTACACATTTCAGAGGAGCTGACGACATAAAACTTTTCTCTCTCTCCATCGGTAGTCGCAATGGCAGAACAATCACCTAGTGAGTAACATTGGCCACACAGTGGGCTGTGAGTTCATCCATTTCATAACCTCTTATCCAGTATAGGGTTGCTGTGCCAATGAACCAGATTGTTGGAGGAAGCTGTAATAGCCAGAGGAAAGCCATTCAAACACACGGTGAATATGCTGACTACACACACAGAATAGGCTGCGTGAGGCTTCAGTGGTAATCACTGCCATACCACACAAACATATTGTTTTGTTGTAATAACCACTGCGTCATTGTGAAACTACAAACACATCACATAAGCATTAGCAGGGGGTACCATCACACTCCATCAGAATATACTTGGTTTTTAAATGACAGATTTATTGTTTTTATGCAAATTGGACAGATGATGCAGATAAAACCATCCAATCATCAATCTCCCCCATCAGCTGCTTATCGCAATGAGGGTCACAATATAAGGAAGTGTCACAGATTGCATTTTATTTTTTAGTGGTAAAGGTGTGTTTTAGTGGTAAAGGCCTGCTTTCATTTTCAAGGATTCTCAGCTGTCTGTTTTGGTCTAATGAACTTCTGACTGCAGATTTTACCAATTTAACATTCCGGTGGAATCAGTATCCCACACAGTGTATTTTTATTACATTTTAGGGACAGTGACAATATAACAGAATACTTAAAATAATGTCAAGTGTTACATATGTGAATTGGGTTTTCCTTTGTTATCACCACCAGTGTTTGGTGCATTCTGTGCTTGCAAACTGCATGCTGACAGTTACTTGTGCAAAGAGATTTTAATCACAGTAAAGCAAACGCAGCTTTCTCTTACGCCGCAGTCAAGTGCTGTTAGTTATGCAATTTGTGGACACATCCTTTATTACAGAAGTTACTACATCAGTCTGCCACAACTTAAATACAACATTACCCATAAGACAATGAATTACTCCCAATTGATACATAATTCACTTTGTAAGAATGGCACACAGGAACACAAATGTTCCTGTACCCAACGATGTCAGTGTCTTGAACTGCCAGTAAGTTACAACGGCTATGAAACTTAAAAATCAGGACTGACAAAACAGACTTCATATTCACCCTTGGGCAACGCTGCCACCAAACCCAAGTTAAATCAACAGCGAATATCTGAGGTTCAGGCAGGGCTTTGAAATGTTATGTTTTATACAGAATTACAGAGCACGTATTGGGTAGTGTGTAAGCTCTTTGCAAGACAAAGCTACATATCATTCCCACCCGACCTAACTTCACCGTACAGTCCAACAATCAGCAGCCGATTTTTGGCCTGTACTTCAGACCTCCACATAACGATGGCGACCAAGAGCCCAAGTAAAGCCCTTTCAGGCATTTCTCTTCGTGTGCATGAGCAGGTCTCTCTGCAGGTCTGCCTCTAACCCCCCAGCCCCTGTCTTGCCTCCGGGGGGGTCCGTGATCATGGTCAACTTGTTGAACACTCCCCTGCCAAAATAGTCGGCCACCACTGAAAAGCCGTCGTTGGAACACCTCAGCTGAAGGAGGAATAGACAAGAAGGGTCAATCACTAGGAGCCCTGGGGTTATCATATGGGATGAAAACAAATGTTAATACTGTAGGAGGATGGGGCCGGGCAGGACCGAGCTGGGGGCTGCACCTGTCTGGCAAAATGATCATGCAGGTCTCTCTTCTGGTCCTGAGCACGCAGCATGTCCATGACTTTGCGGTTTTCCGGGGTGCAGGTGGGGCACTCGGCCTCGCTCTCCGCGTAGCTCTCGAAGCAGTGCTGGTGGAAGGAGTGGCCACACAGGAAGTGGACCGACGGCAGCTCCAGAGGGCTGTTGCACATGCTGCACTTGGTCTTCTGGAAAATCTTTGCGCTGCGAAGAGAAAACAGCCCAAACCCAGGGCAAGCTGCTTGCAGGCCATCTGTTTTTTTTTCCCCTCCCACAAAAAGGTATTCTTCCGAGAATTTATTCTAACATGATTAGAATAAAGACAACTGCAACCTGTACTCATTTATCAGGCCTCTGCTGACCTGGTTCGGAGCTCCTGGATTTCGGAGCGGAGTTGGGTAGTCTCCTGCTGATACTGCCCGATCTTTCGCTCGTCATCCTCAATCTGCTGGCTTTCCCGCTGCAGTTTGTTGATCAGGTAGTCCTTGATGACCGACAACGTGGCAGTGGAGTTGTGCGCCAGTGTCTGCACGACTGCGAACGAGACCATGCTTATGCGGCCACCTGCAAGATGGGTGGAAGCACCTCACGCAGGAAGCTGTGAGCAGTGCTGTGCTAACGACACAAGCAAGGTGTGGTTTTGGCAGATGAAAAACTCAAATGTGAATATTTCCACCTATCCTATCTATAGGCATTAATAAGTTGCCACTGCAGCACCAAGTTTTATAACAAATTCCGATGCATTTCATTATTTATCCTTGAAAGTCTATAATTACCTATAAAAATAATGTAATTAATGACTGAAAAGGGGAGATATACAAGGACACAAAAAGAGGTCTGTATTCTTAGTACTGAAGCTAGGAGATCATGTAATAAGTAGGCTGTTCTAGATGAGCTTGTTTTCTTGATAAAGCTAAATAGTATTATTAGATAGAGATTTAAATGAAAATTAAACCAGGTGTAGATCTTCATCCATATGTTTTTGTGAAGCAGGAATAAAAATCCTTCAAATACCTTTTGACTAATTACATTCACAAGGTCACGTGTCATCTGCTTGTACACTTTCATCATTTTTAGGACGATCTGTCTTAAAATTTAAATTGGTTCCAGGTCGGTACCCATACAATGCCTCTGCAAAGTTTGAAAAAGATCCATCAAAAACTCTGAGTTATTGTCTTAACGGGATCAAATGTCAAAGCTGCCCTTCTTCCTATCACGATGTGGCGCTGCTTTGGTTTTGAGGCGATCTGTCTCAATTTCAGTTTCAAATAAATGTTATTATTAGACAGAGATTAATTCCGAGATAAAGTACCAAAGGATTAGGTTACACAAAGTGACTGAGAAAAGCAAGGAAACTCCCCGATTGGCTGAGAGGTGCCAGCTCACCTAGCAGGGGAGGCATGAGATTGTGGCGCTCAATGTGTTGCAGCACCTCGCTGATGTAGGGCTTGCAGTCTTCCTCTTTGCGGGCGAAGTAGCCCAGGGCTTGTTCCCATAGGCAGGCCTCCTGCTCACCATAGCGCTTGCATGCTTCCACCACCTGCCCGTACTCCTCGTTCTGCATGTGGTAGTGCATGATTTGCTGGTACCTGAAGCAGCAGCCTGGCGGTTAGTGGGGTGTCAGGCCTGCGGTTTCAGCCTCTATCCGTCTCTCACCACAAAGGACTCAGGTTTTTGCCCTCGAAACACAACTTTGTACTTCAGATCATTATCTCAGGGCTGCAACTTTGGTCAGTTGGATGGTGTGAGATTTTCAATGTTAGACAAGTCTGCACACACATGCACGCGCAATTACATGTAACGGTTTTATAACCTTGAAAATAGTCAGTAGCTTCTAAACTCTCCCGACACTTTTGATGTAGCTAATTTTAGGTTTCTAGAGGAACCATATAGATTTGCCCTAAGATTTCTTGTGTGAGCATTATCACCTGAAAGCATGAGTGTCACACCAGGTGCATGAGAGTTGGCAACCCAGACAATATGGAAGCGTCACAAAGCAATGACTGAAAATGTCTGCTTCTTGATTACATTAGAATTACCAGGTCAGAAGTATTTCTGCATAAACAAGTCAGTAAGACAGAATTATTAAAGTGCATATAAAAAAAACTCTCTCCTTGTTATGGTTACTGTGTTTGTAGTCATTACTATACATTAGTAAATTTACTATGTTTCTTTACACGATGAAAAATGTCTCAAAGCCCTGATACAGTTTACCACACTACTGGAAATATTGTTTGAGTGTGTAAACTGTATACAGGGAATGTGGAACCAACATAGCTACAATGCAGTAACTCACAATTTTCCTTTCTCGTAGAGATACAGCACACCCTCCTTGAAGTTGTGCATCTGGCACAGGACGAGGGCCTTGTCAAAGACAGTGTTGTCGCTCTTCAGCAAAGACAAAGCCGCTTCCTGAAGGACCTTCTTTTTCTGTAATGCAAACCACACATGGGGAAGTTACATAAAAATTCTAATGCAGAATCAAGAGTGATTTATGTTTGTGAGCAATACTGCCATCTAGTGGACAGATAGGGTAAGGGAGGGGGAACCTGACCTGAAGCTGAAAGCTTATAGAAGGATCAGCAGTATACACGCTACCATTTTCAATTCTGAGGATGTACCATATGAATGCAGAGAACAAGTCAAATGAAATAAACGCCGGTCCCAGGGCAGCTCATCACCTCGACATCCTGCTCATGCGCCCAGTCTTGTAGCCGCAGTTCCAGCAGCGTGTCGTAGACGCCCTGCGACGACAATGGGTCCACCTCGATCATGTGCTCGAGGAAGGCACGCAGCTCTCGGGGGTTGTTGGCAAAGATGGGAATGAACATCTCTGAGCTGGCCTGTCAGAAGGAAAAAGGAGATCTGCTCAATGCCAG